AGAGACACTGAGTGATATGGCTGGGTGTCGCAAACAATGGCGTTCGTGCATCTCAATTTCTTTGCAACCTTAGACCACTGAAATTTTCCCATTTTCTGTTGGACTCCACTTTCAACTTTCCTTTCTTCTCCTATTCTTCATCCAAATGGGCAGCCAAAAGACAGCAACCAAAACCGGCGCACGAATATGCGTGGTTAATGGTTGTTCAACCTGAAAATGAAACAAGAGTTCAGTTATATATCCAACTTCCCATTCTCTTCTCAATAAAATGAACTAACCCTATTCCATTAGTTATTCACCTATGAATTGGCTGACCATGAGTAAGTGGAAAACAAAGAAATGGTAAACGAACGTAGTTGGTGGTACTCCCGTTTGGAACTAACCGCTGGTTATTTTCTTTATTTCCCTGGTGTAAACGCAAAGCTGAATGGTAATGTTTATTTATACCTTGTAATATCCGGAAATCGCCATATTTTCTTATTCTTTTGAAACTGTATTACTAAGTGTGCTTGTTGAATACTCTCGTGATGATAAATAACTCAAAAAGAGCTAGGTATTCGTATATTTTATTATATTACACACGTTTGACTCCATGAGATGATATATCACAAATGAATCTCCGGGACGTTTGTGTGGATGAGAGTGTACTTAACAAATGTAAGAGACAATTAACCAAAATACCTTTGGACTCGAATAATACTGTGAATCTCGCTCTGGTAGATAGTTGTTATTACAAATTCATATGTCCCTACGCATTTTTCATCGTTCGAAAAGGTCAGAAAAACTATCAAAGTATTTTTTTATTTTTATTATCATTTGGCAGTCTCAATTCAATGAGTCGCATGTACAACGCTCTCAGTCATCCCATACCACAAATCTGACCCCAGCATCCGGTGATTCCGGGGTGTCCTCAGGAAGTGAATTGGACCACTTGTTAGCCAAATTGGGTGAACTGCTCCAACAGCTACATGTTTGCGAGTCACCGGAACCGGAACTGAACTTAAGCACGACGAATCGATCTTCGGAATTACCATCGCCCCGATCCACGCCCAATGAGACTTGTGAAATGACAGTTCCTGATGAACAAGAGGCGATAAGTTTATTGGACCGAGTTTACGGTGCGATTTGTGAGTCTGGTCTAGCTGGGAAACAGAAATGGCCAAATCGGACGACTTTGTTATCGACATCTCTCGCACTGCTTAATTGGCCTTCACCTGTCATTCGACTTGCTCTGATTAGACAAATTTTAAGTGTATGTTTTGTGTGATTTTTTTCTCGTTTTATTCTCATTTATTTAAATCAGTTCAGTTCCGTTTTTATAACCAATAGGCTGGAACCGGAGAATGTGTTTTGGGTTCCTGAACGTATTGAAAGCCAGTAGATGTAGGAAACGAAAGAAAACTTTTTTCTCTATGTCGCATCAGGTATATACATATATAACTAGATTATCCTGCTGCTCATTGAATATCCTAAGATGGTTTTGAGTGATTGTGTGTGAGAGAAACGTTCGCTGCAACACAAACCACAAGGTCATATGAAGTGCTTATGTAAAAGCTAAGTGGAAATGTACGAATTGAAGACGATAGAGTAGGTTTTAGTCGCAAGTGACTGAAAAGAGGTGAAAAATTTTAAACAAAAAATCGTTTTTTGAGGGCGGTAGGCATCATTAAATAAAAATTATAAGATAATCACTTTTATGGTAATACTTATAACAGCGCCTAAACTGGGTTACCTTGCTGGCACGGCTGTGGTTTAATTGTGTACTTCACTACCTCGAATCTACTTTCCCTTTCTGAGACACAACTATCTGTTTAAAAGGATCTTTCAAGTGTCTTATTCTCTCACTGATCATCTCTTTCATCGTTTCTGTTCAAAGCTAATGAGTGTGCATTTTGTTCACCGCTCAGCATCAGTCATCACTCTATCTGGTCTTCATGATTTCAATCGGGAACTTCAGTTCTTTTCACTGAATCTTATCACATTTTCAAGCAACCATTTTGCATTCTTCATCACTTGCCCAACAGTTCTTTCCTCTAGGTTTGTTTTTTGCGACACATTGAAAATATTTTGCAATCAGACCCAGGTCACCCTCTTGTGTGATTTCAGCGTTCACCAAGGCGACTAGTTAACATACTCTGTGACAATCACAGCCATGGGTTACGAGTTGGAAGCGTTCACTATCGTAAACGGTCCATCACAGCCGTTGACTTTCCTCACCCCCGTCACCGACTGTAGAGAGGAGCGCGCCTACACCTTTGACTTGTCATCAACCTTCAGTTCGTCTCCTTCATCGAACTTATCTCTATCTTCCTCTCTTGACTCATCGCACCATTCTCTTGTTACCTTGGATTTTCACAGTCCAACCTACATCACAAAATTTCCTCGCTATAAATTCTTTTTTTCGAGTCTGATTACTAAAGAGGCCTAAGCCATTTCGCGATCGTGCTTTTTCCTTCTCAACCCGTCCAACTCAGCGAGGAATGCTCTGGAGACTAGTCACCAAACCATGCATATATTTATTTCACACCTCCGTCAATTCGGGAAACAGCACTTACTTGCACAATCGGTACAAAAAATAATGCCTTCCAAACTTGGCGTTTGTCTCAAAATACCTATATGCAAACCCGAAACAAATGCTTACTAGACCCCCAAAAAACAAAGAAAAATTGTTCTTGGCAAGCTCTTCAGCCTCCCATTCTGCTTTGTCGCCAAAGCGGTTTTTCGTAGCCCTTCCCTCTTTTAGTTATCCCAATTAAGAACGCTTCTGGCTATCTGATTCCCTATCTCTCCTGAACGACTGATGCATTTACCTCCTTTTTGCTTCTAAATCTACCGTACCTCCGACTCCCACACACCCTTCGCCTGTTACCCACGATACTCCCACATTTCCCCAAAATCTTAATCAAAGTATCTGTCTAGCACTGCGTTCGCCAAGTATATCCCATCTTAACGACCGTAATGGCATTCCACCGGTAGTGCTCAAGAATTATCTATCTAAGCTTGTCTCTTCTGTCTATCTTCTACTTATCTCCCTCCCAGTCCGTGTTTCCCAGTAGTTGTAAAACTGTTCACCTCTTCCCCATCCCTGAGACGGATCGATCCTGTGATTCACACTGCTGAGGCCAATCTCCCTGTAACCCCCCTCCCACTAGAGGTCATGAAACTTGTTATGGAAGAACAAATGCTGAACTGCCGCAAACTTTTTGTAAACTGTCACATTTGATGTTTATTTATTGACTACCATAAAGACTCTAATCTGATCTCCCTCAATAAATCCAAGGTATTCAACCGAGTTTGGCTTGACGGAGCTGACCACGTTTGGACTCGCCCGTGTTTGGATACAAAGTTTATCCTGTGAGCCTCCAGTCTCTGTTTCTGGTGATAGAGTCATTTTGAGTGCACTGTTAGTGAAATCCGCATCTCACATTATTTCCATCCTCTTCCTTCCCTTTATCAACGACTTACTGAAAATACATGGTCACAAACTTTGGGTCACGTGCTGACTTTAACACCCCGGGGGGCGGTTATGTTCAAATTCTCTCTTTTAAGAACCACAGGATTTCGGAACACTTCCTGATTCTGCTTTCCGCCTTACAACGTTTCTTTTTTCAAGCGCACTAGCAATAAATTGGGTTTTGACCTTCCCCATTTTCAGTCTGTGGTGGTCCTTATAATTCACTTTAAATCATGCTTGTTACACAATAAAAATTGCCCATCTAACTTGGTGAGTGTTACCTAAAGATGAAGACAGTCCTAGGAAGTACATTAGCTTGCCAACGAAGTCTCTCATTTCTTTGGTTCTATGAGACTCATTAAAATCTGTATTTAGTCTCAGTGGCACTCTCTGATTTCAGCAGGAGTTTATTTTCTATCTGTTTAAATGACCGCATATTCCTTTCTTTCAAATCCTGAGTCCTCAAAAAGAAAAATAATGCTGGAAACTATACACTCGCTGCTCCGCTAACTTGGATTCAATTATATTCCGTTCATTATCTTTACTTCACAGCTTCAAGTCTCAGGACCAAATCTTACAAGAGTTTGCAAAGTGCTATACAAAGTATCTAAACATGCTCAAAATGACGCGTTGTTTTTAGAACATCCAGACACTGTCGGTGAGTTCATATACGGTGTATTTTCGCTTCTCTTGTATATGTTTCCTGGTTCTTAAATCAGAACAGACGAAAAATTCAAACAGGGGGAGTGTCTGGAAACCAGATCGTGCTGGTAAAATTATTACAAATGTATTCATTTGTTGCTCCTTATTCAGTTTCCTCAAATGAATAAGCATAACCGATACGAGTACACGTATGGAATGCAAATTTTTTCAGGTTGTTTAACGTAGCTGTGTATTTTTCTCTCATGTTTTTTCAACCTTGGTATCAATTTAGATGCGATAGAAATCTTTGTGATGACCGACAAAAAGCGCTGATCAGCTGTTTTGTCCTGTTCTGGACTTGGTAGCGGTGCGTACTTTTTATGTCCCTGTTATGACTCGAAACACGAGTCTTTGGATTGAGAGTCAATACCCTTATCGCAGAGCTACACGGTCGGCAGTGACAAGAGGTACGCACTGCTTGCGAGTGCTTAACAGAAATAAACAGATATCCAGTGCTTTTTGTCGGTTATCACAAGATTTCCATCGAACTTAGATTGATATCAAGGTTAAAAAAGCCGTGATTGAAGGTGTGATTTTGACTCATACACAGTTGTCGTAGTGTGCTTGCAGTGAATACTCTGAGATTATGTTGATCAAACTTATTGCTGCACTGCTTCTGTAAGATATTCTATTTTTTTCTGATAAATCGTATTTTTTCACCCTCTCACACATTGAATTGATGATTTTCGTCAATTACGAGTTTAGATTTGAGCCTCAATCCCTATGTGTGGTTTCGAACGATTCATTTGGTTCAGGGACTTCACAAGGAATTACTGNTTACTGTTCAGACGGAGGGTTGCTGTCAACGATGTCAGTTGTATCCTGGGGGGCAAATTTAGAAATCGGATGACCCTGGAGGCCAGTTAAACTGCATCGTGAAACATCCTGTTCACCTGCATTGATACAGTTGAATTACTGTCCAGTAGAACTGTTTACCTTTCACACACCTAATGTTGGTGAACCAGTACAATACACTCTAGATCTTCAACTCAATAATGGGCAGTAGCCTTCAGCAATCCCACCTTTCTTTCACAACATAGGTAAAAGGAAATCTTTGGATCTCAGTATTCCCTCTCTCTCCGTACATACCTGATGGAATATATGTTTATTTGGGCTTAAAATGTCTAGATGCAATCTTCTCTTTTCTCCTTCATTCAAATCGGCAGTCATGAGAGAGAAACCAAAACTGGGGCACGAAAGTACTTGGTTAATGGTTGTAAAAACTGAGCTGAACTGACCTATACGCAAATACCAAACCATGTTACATTGGTCGTACAGTTAAGCGTTTATCTCATCTCTTTAAGAAGCACCACCCACAATGGTCTAGTTAGCGGAAGACCGGCTTTATCTCAAATGCGATCGTGAATCATCTGGACACAAGATGGAACCGGAGGAAGTTCGATATGTTGTTTATCGCATTCCACTCAATCCATCGAAGGTGACCCGAGTTTGGACACCAGCAATCGTCATTCGCTTACTGTGCCCAAAAGTCTAATGCAAGCGCTTCTCTTGCTTTGGCCTAGTGTGAAAACCAAGCGAGCATAGATTTGTACCTTGACCCAAGTCGAGAAAGGTCACATCATTTAGCACACTAAATACACATCCTTCTGTCTCCGATTAATGACCCCTAACTGAGACAGTGTCTGTCATTATGTGAGCATTTTTCCACTTTATGACTAGGAATATCCGAAAACAACTGTTAGCCCACCGACTCGTTTTCTCAATAATATAACATTATTTAGCTCATGTTTGCTTCTAAGTATTTGCAGTATTTTTGTGATAACAATTACGATCTAATTTCTCTCGATTCAGACTGCCTATTACACACGTTGCAACAATTGGACACACCTTTACCCGATATCAAGAAGCGAATCACTTGGGATTCAGATCCATTGCTCGAAAATTTGGATGCCCTGTTATTTCTCACTGGTACAATGAAGTTCCTTGCTGCCAGCCCCGTGGTTTCGGAGCATTTACACAATCACTCGGCCTTTCTTGTCGGATTGCTTAGTTTGCATAAACAAGTGGATCAACGGATCAGATTATGGTGCACAGAAGCAACTACGCCTCCGCAATCCGGAAACGGGCAAGAATATCTCATTGATCGTCTGTATCTCGTTTTGGTTCAAGTAAGCCGTCTGTTTTGTGTTTAATTTTATCAAATGCATTATTTAATCATTCACTTCGTTTCTTATCCATATTTGTATTTTTTTCACCCTTTGATACTCCTGTCCCATTGTCGTTAAAGTAGTCCATCAGTGAAAAATCCCTGAATCGCCTGGAAGTTCCAATGTACAACCCTAGGTTGAAATTGCTGGTTAGACTTTCTGTGGGTCTAATATCTACCGAGGTACGTACTTTTCAATTCCCACTTCGTGAGTAATCTTCACTTCGGACAGATGGCTGGTATCACCTGGTGGTGGTTGCCAATTGAGGCAAAAGTTAGCAAGTCTACTACCAATGAAAGCCAATCAACCTTCATCCTTGAAGTGTTCATCTAAGCTCCAGAATTAGTTAGTTTGCATTATTGGACTCCTTAATTATTTCACTCCTAGTTTCCGTCGTACCTTTAGTCCCAATTAGAAATAAATGATGTTGACTATTTCCAACAGTCAGGCTTCACCATTACCATACATTTTTCGATCCGCAACTTCTTGCGCCCATTCCTCAGACTTTTCAGGAGTTAGCCTCTCCCAGACAATGCTTAGTGCCGTATTTGATGTCCGGAGGTTCGGGCGTCTAGCAAAGAAACGGAGTTCGGAGAAATGTATTACCTGCAGCAAACACTTTTTTGTTGTCTGCCACCCAGAACCCACTGGATTCTCTTCTGTTTCCGTCATGTTCTTTTCAATCCACGCCCCATATATATATACAGAGAGAGAGAGGGAGAGAGCAACACTCATCACAGATATGGCACCAAATTAACCATGGATGAACGAAAAATGTAGGAACAGAAACGGAGGAAGCATTTGGGGGGATAACAATTTCACGGAAGATTACCATAGGAATATCAAAAGCCAAACAGTATAGCGAACAAGCTTGTTTTCGTAATTTCGTCTTCAGGCCTTTACAGTTATGTGTGCGTGTTTATATCTAATGTAGACAACAATGCATTCAAAGTCATCTAAAAAGTACCCCAAAACAAATCAAATCAAGTTCGTAAACGTCACTTGGCAACAGCGGAAGCTGTAGCAATCAAAATCATGAACCCACCACTGTGCAAACAGAAGATGGTTGCCGCACTTTAGCTGCCTTGGCCCCAACCAAACCTACGTGACGACCCGAACCAAATTCTGGATTGCACTTAATTAATCGTTGAGAGGTTTCATTTGAAATTTAAAGATTCCTCTTT